TTTAAGCAAAAATACGGCCTTGAATTTACATAAGCAAAAAATATATTTTTTTCATAAAACTTAAAATCGGATGGAAAATAGTCAAGCTATTAATGATAAGAGCATGAAGTATGAAAATAACGTTTTTTTTTTTTTGTTATGAAAAATGGAGGGTTGAGGAACTATACGGGACCTATTTTCGCGTTGTACTCGACCATACCTACAACCTACACCACACTAGGGTGTATTTCATGGCTTTTGTGTAGCACCGTGTAATATTTAGTTCGAAAAATTAATTTAACTCCCGAAAAAGAAGCAGAACTGGCAGGGTAGCATAACCTACTAAAACGAGAAGGCTATTGGAGGCATATGAGCGCACTTGACCCACTGCATTTGAATTCATCTCTAATTGTTGTGTGCGTCTTTATGTAATAACACAACTGAAATAATCTATAAGCCCAAAATACAATAACGCAGTGGCAGTGGCAGTTTTTCGAAATCAGCTGTTTTTTAGAAAGTGTGGTGTCCAATGAAGCGACTCACAATACAGCAGTGGCAGCTGGCAGTACTGTTCAGCTTAGCCCAAATTCTAAATTCACTGCCACTGCCTCCATCGCAGCAAACTTCGCATGCTGAATTTGACATAAATGAAATGCAGCTAACTTCGGTTCATGTCACTGAAGCCTAAAAGACAACAACGCGACGCGGCAGCGACTGNTAACTTCTGTTCATGTCACTGAAGCCTAAAAGACAACAACGCGACGCGGCAGCGACTGCCAATATTAGCAGTAACAGCTGATTTTAAAAACAGTCACTGCCACAGCCACTGCGCAATTGTATTTTAGCCTATAGTTTTAGGCACGGTCCACATTAGAGAGATACGATACGCGATACGATAAGTAATACGATATGAAAGCGACATCGACATGCTGAGTACGTGGGAATTGGTAGGAAGCGGTGCAAACTGTGTTCACTTGCACGGCAGCAACACTTCGGGGACTATACATATCATTTGCGTATCGGCCGAGGGAGACGGTTGCTATCACACCGCATATGGTATCGCGTGTCGTATCGCTCTAATGTGCACCGTATCTAAAACTGTAGATTAGTTCAGAGTTTCCTAATTGGGTTCTGCGGAACCCAAGGGTTCCGTAGAAGTCACCGGGGTTCCGTGAAATAAATTTTGGTATGAATAAGCACGGCGGTCGACAGTGGGTTTGAGTTGCACACACAAAGAATAGACGGAAATGATCTATTTTGCAAGTATACTTACATTCACATGTGTGAGGCCATGAGGGCCAGAGCAGCGTAACTATAAAAAATAAATGCGGTATTTTACTAAAAAGTTCATTGCATCTACATACGTGTTGCCACATATTTTGGTAAAAGAATACTAAAAGAGTGTGCCTCGGGCTGTTACCGTTTCGCTTCTAGTAATGTATTTTAAGGTGCACCTTAACCTGGCCCTCATGGCCTCATATGTCCTCGTATTTGGTATGATTGCCGTACTGAGTGCTATACCTACTAGGGCATTCAATACCGAAGCATTTTAATAATCCCGGGATTTCGGCATTCAAAAATTGGAGTCCCGGGATCCCGAGACTTTTCGGGATTTCGACTTCATCACAACTTTTTACATTTTACAGTATGTTCGCCTATTTCAAACCACACAAATTCATAGTCATCACATTTTGAGCATAATGCTCCTTAGTAAATATCTATATTACTTGTCTAAAACATTTACTCATATTTGCAGACATTCTTTTCCAAAAACGGCCAACAAAGTAAAATGAATAACAACTCTGCCACACTGTAAGAGCTTGTGTTTTAATTACTACCAGATTTTTCGTTATTACAGATTCCTGCACAAAATATTTGAATAAGTACAGTTATTTAGCCAGGTCCTGAAATTCACTTCCAAGTGCAAGTGGCTCAAGTTCATTTTGAATCCAAATTTTGGTGTTCTGTATTTCTCGTGCTTCATGTCAAATTAATTCTTTTTTTCATTTTCAACATCTCTTTCATTCTGTAAATGATTCAGTAAAAATATCGGGTTTCCGGAGCTGTAATCCCCTGATTTCGGGACATGAAAAAGTGTCCGGGATTCCCGAAACCCGAGAATGAATGTCCTAATTCCTACTTAAGAGCGTTGCGCTTGACAGCTTGTTTTTGCTAACTTGATGAAAATTTTTGTAATTTGTTGAATTTTCTTGAATTTCGCACAAAGTTTGTATGTATACTAAGTCTCAGAAATCCAGCTGCTCCCGCACTAAGCGAACGTCAAAAAGCCGTAAAGAATCGAAATCAACGAAATCCACAGCGCAAACAAAAAACTACGTCCTGGGCACTGTCGTCACCGCCCTCCTTCTGTGATCGAAAAAACTAAAACTATGTTCGCAACTTCGATTCCACCGTTGATGGACACATATACATATATATGGTGGCACATATGTACATACATACCTCAAACGATTGGACTATAAATTATGGACCGTTTTAAGCTACTCGATTTCGAAATGTTAAGTCTTTGAAGCGCGGCCTTGTCCAAGCATTGGAAAATTTCCCAATGCATGGGATGCGTACTCCGAAGTGAAACAGGTGTGGTGTATTCAAAATCCTGACTCAGCTCACAAGTGTGTGTGGTAAAGGTTTTTTTGTGGAACTGAGTAGTAAATATGTATGTATGCACTATGTATAATTATGTGCATTAGTCACCAGTGTTGCCGCGCCGTCTCAAGAAAATGTATCACCGACCTAGCCAAAAATGTATCCAATTTTCTTTTTTTACGTATCCATCTCATAATTTGTAAGAAAACCAAACATTTTAAAGAAAAAATACATAACTTAGCCCATCCTAAGGACTTGAAATACATGTATATATATTTTTATTTTTCATAAAATCAAACAATTGTAATTTAAATTTATAAATTAAATTTTTTGTGCATAAGTATTTTGCAAAGTAAGTATAATAAATAGTAATTAATATGTTACATTTGTACATGTACACTCTAAAAAGTGCATGTAAAACTACTAATGAAAAGTATCTATTTTTCAACAAGAATCTGTATAAATATACGTATAAGATATTCAGGATTTGATTTTGAACTTGATTTGATTTGGATTTGATTTTGATCTTTAAAATGTACACATGAAATGTTTAAAAATGCAAACATTTTTAAACTAAAAATACATTTTCTACTAATAAAAAGCATTAGGGGCTCACATTTACTCTAGTTTAAACATTGTATGTGTAATTTTGCTCTTCGCGACAAATTTGGTAAGTAAAAGTAAGTAGGCAATGTTTAATTTTATTGCGCGGTGTGCAAATTAGGAGGAAACTGGTTACCTCTCTTAATATGCGCAAATAAACAAAAAATTGTAAAGTGTATTTAAAGACTTTTCAGTAAAATTCATAAGAATTTCCTTAAATAAATCAAATTTAGTTTTTAAACAGTGTATTTTAACCTACATTGAGATCTTTCTTTCTAAATTAACAAATTAAAATATGTAAAATGAAAGAGATTACAACAGAAAGAGTATCTATTTACTTTATATATATATTAAGATCTTGCTGAAAGCATCCTTTTTAGCTAATTAAAACAATTGCGAGAGAGATCTCTTCATATGTTCATTGCTTCGTTCATAATAAAATGCTTTAATTTCACGCTTAAGTAGTGATTTTTAATATATTTATACTGATCGGAAAAAAGAAGTATCTCGCAAAAATTCGTCTAAAAATGTATCCAATTGGATCTATTTAGATCCAAACGGCATCCCTGTTAGCCACTTCCACTTCGATAACTCCTGCGTTCGATTTAAATTTTTGTAAGACGTTGTTGTATTGTATTTTACTCCGGTTGATTGAAAAGAAAGTGAAACCACTACTAACGCAAGTGTAAATTAATAAGTAGAATCATACCCTGTAGGAAACCCACTACTGTTGACATACATTTCTCGTTAAGAACTAGTACAACTTGGAAAATTCCAAACTATACTTTACTTGTCATCTCACAATTAACGACATTTCTCTTCGAAAGTCCGCAAATTGTAATTGTATAGATTTTAATAGTTATTAACTGATGTTCCATCCAACTAATGGCAAGTAAACAACCCAAATTACATTTTTGGTGGAACAAGTACTTTTTTCGTTCCCGTACACTTCTGCAACTGTTCTCCTGTTGCGCTCACTTGAGATAGTAAAATTGTAGTTTGACAGTTCCACAGGCTTTAGTCCGAAGAATACTGGAACAAACTAGCCGTGTAGAGTCGGGCGAATACTAATGGGGACGCGGCAGCAGTGTGAGCAACACTTCAGTCTTATGACGCAACTAGCGAGAAGGTAATGCCGAGCGTCTAGTTCGCTCATATGCAGGTGCAACACTGTGTAAAATCCACAGGGTTGCTTTACACTCAAAAGAGAATTCCAATGAACTAATCAAGGTTCTATGTACATAACCATGATGCAGAGAACAAAGGTGGCACTCATCTCGGTACCGCTACTCCGATCTCAGAGAATTTGACAGGATCGCTGTTTGTATGACGTCACACTTGTGCAGCTTTTGTTTACGTTTTTCTTGAAAAGTTTTTCGTACCTCCATTCAAATAAAACAATTAGATAACCTGGCTATTCAAAATAATCAGTAAATTATACCTTTAAAACAAATACAATTGCTACATATGTATGTTTTTACTAAATATAAAATATGTCCGTGGCATTGCCATGTCTTGCTTGCTGCCAATCGAACACTTTTGGTCAACACGTTACCATTAAAATGAAACGCGGCAACATATTAGTTGGGGTGGTGCTTACAGAGCGCGCTGTTGATCACTGTGAAACCAGTTTAACTGCATTTTTATGCACATTTTCATTTACACGCAAAACCGTTGGCTTGCCAAAACTTGAGATACCGAATGTTATGCTTTTCATAGCCATGCACTTATGTACTATACTCGTCTGTATGTTTGTATATTAATATGAATATATGTATGTGCCTGCCTGCATTTATGCATGTAGTTCGCACCGGTTTGACTGAGGAACAGGTTGGCGACATGCGCATGCGCGAACACTCGGGAGTAGCGACTGTAAACTGCACCACATCACCTTCGCAAGCGTCATCGCCACTGGCAGCAACATCACCATCACCATCAGCAACGTCAACTGCTGCTACAGCACTCAACAGCAGTAGCAAACACTGGCAGTATGTATGTACATACAGTGGCGCTGACATAAATAGCACACATTTATATTTTTTTTTACAATATACACCATGTTTAAAAAAACCATATAAGTCAAAGTTTAAAACTTTATGCACAATTTTGGAAAGTTTAACTAATTTCAAAAAAATTCGAACAAAATTTTCAATTTTTTATTCCCAATTTTGAAAACTTTTGTATAATTATGTGCAGATTTGAAAAATGCCGTTGATTTGTAATTGTTTTTTTTGTTGGCGGCGTTGTGCAATTTCTTCCATATAAGACTCGATCCATTTCAAATCATGCAGGCAGTCAGTCCGATGGTAGTTATATTGAGAATTAACTTCAGAATAAAATATGTTTTTCTGCTTGAAAAATAAATGAACACGTATTTTTTAATTTTCATAGCATTACTTTTGTTATTCTTTACGAATTTTTTAAGGTTTTGTAAAAAAAAAATAATTTTGTGGATTTTTTTTAACCTTGTTGTTTTCTTAATTTTTAAGCCATTTGGCTGCTGCAAAGGCTTTTGTAATAAATTTTTTGTAATTCCATATGTACTACTTACGAAAAAAATTTCCTATTTTTTCGTTTCTTAGGAGAAAAAAAATTATATTCAGAATTTTGATAAATAGCAAAAATACATAACTTTCTTGAAGAAACAAACCAAAATTTGTACTCAAAAAACGACACGGTTTTTCTCAAAATTTTTAACATCTTTTATAAAAGCAAAAAAAAAACATTTTCTCAAAATCCCACCTTTTGTCCGAATATTTTTTGTTTTTTATTTAGAAATTCAAGAAAACTGAATTGAATTTTTATTGAAAACTGCGTCCTTTCGGAAATAAGTTTTGTTTTTCATAAAGTGGAAAATAATTAAAGTTCCAAATTAATTTTAAGCTTTCAGTATAGCAAGGTTTAAAAATAAAATTGAAAATAATTTATGTCTTATAGGAAGCGAAAAAATTCCGATTGAAAATTGATGCCTCTGGTGACTAATTTTACAGCTGATTACTTTTAGAGTTAGCCATTGGAACTTTGACAGTTGTAGGAGTTAAAAAGTGAATTAACACCTTCTACCACCAAAGGCTTCAATAATACGACTTCCTGTGTGTAAAAATTATTCACTTAAGCCAAAAATTCTGACAAAAAGTTGCGATTTTTGGAGAAAATGTTGGTTTGCTTTTATAAAAGATGTTAAGTACTAGCGATATTTATCAAAACAAATAAGCATAAATCCTAAAAATTTTGAGAAAAACCATGTATTCCTTTCAGTATAAATTTTTGTTTATTTTCGCTATTTATCATAATTTAATTTTAAAAATATATTTAAAGTGTCAAAAATTTAAAAAACTTATTCAAGGAACAACTTGAAATCCTAAAAATTTTAGTATTAAGGAGGTTCTATGTAAAGAAAAAATTAAAATAATTCGTTTTCTCCTAATAAACGAAAAAATACTAAACGAAATTTTTATGGTAAGTAACTAGTATATATGTATACCTATAAACCCTGTAAACTTGAAGAAAAAATGTGGTACTTTTGAGAAAAAAGTACGAAAAATTAGGTACAACAACCTTAGTGAATATTGTTCAAAATGAATATGTGCTAGTTATGTGAGCGACACTGTAAATACATAGTTGTTACATGTGTAAATAAGTGGAGGTGCATGGCTCTGTTAACATTTGAATTGCAGTCATTTAAACGTTGATTTCTTATTGATTTATTTTGCCGTTGTTATTTTTTTCTGTCGGCAATAAAGTGAACGGGTTCTCAAACGTATACACCACCATTATGTTGGGTTTGCATGCGCACGCACACATACAACAAACATATGATTTATGAGAAGCTACCCTGCAGGGAAACCGCGGACTGGTGAATCAAATTTCTAGTTCCGTACTAGGTCTTCATCGCCAAAAAGGAACTAGTCCGATAGGAACTAGATCCCCACCAGTCCAAAATCGGCGAAAAGTGGTACTTTTAAGAAACTAATTTTTTCAGTTTTTTTCACTAGAAATCTATATCTAAAGTGACGAATTTAGAAATGGTTCGGAACTATAGAAAAAGGGATGCAGAACGAACTAGATCTTATTTGTCGAATTTAGAACCAGTTCGGAACTATCGAATAAGGGATGCAGAGGGGGGGCTTGTTTACTTTACATAGATACGCTTCTATTCTGTGCTTCGCAGATGCTATTTCATAGTTTGGTAATACAAAACAAAGCTTTGTGTTAACATATTAACATCTTGGGGCCGTCTGGAATCTAACCAATAACAGCGAGCACCTCTGCAAAGTCAGCTACAGCAAGGTATGTAAACGTACATTTCTTACAATCATTCCAACAAATTTAATTTCAAATTGAAAAAACGTTTCTTTGAAAATAATGTAAAATCGCACACGGAAGAACCGAAAAGATTGAAAAATCATGATACTTTTTTCTTTCGTCTGTCGATTTTAGAACTGGTTCGGAACTATAGAATTTAGGACTAGTTCGGAACTATCGAAAAAGGGATGCAGCGGGGGGCAATTGACACTTCCTAGGACATCGCCATGTTAAATTCGCCAGTTGCTTGCATGCAAAAGAGATTTATCGCGAACCAGTACTGGGTCTAAATGTACTAGAAGCGCCCCAGTTCAGAACTAGAGATTTTCCCCACAGGGTATGTACTGCGTGCCTTTGAATTCATATTTTCATATTTTGAAATCATTTGACGTTACTAGCGCGCGCTTGTGCATTCGCCGTCACCCAACATATGTACATAAATAACATAACAATACGCTGCAGAGCAACATTTCCGCTAAAAAACATGCAATGCACTACAGAGACACCGCCCGCACCACAATCACCATTGCCATCGAAAAAGTACTCATAGCGCAGGTGTTGTAATCTTCACTTCTTCGCTGGCTGATTTTATTGCCTTTTGTATTGTATTTTTCCTCAGCCGTCATGCTACCAAACAAAGCAGGAAAGCCACATAAACTATATAGCGCCAATGCAGCGGCATCAGCAGCGCCAACGGCATAGGCAGAAAGCCATACGGGTATAGTAAAGCTGTACTGCTTCACTTTGAAGCTTTTTTTATTTTTATTTTTTTTAATATTGCCATGATTTTTTGTCGTAGGCGACACTTTCGGATGATCCACTTTTGAGTATGTACTTTCACTAAGTCTCTACTCGCTGCATCAGCAACTTTTAAATTGGTGTCGTTCCGTTTCGCGGCATGTTGTTGCTACTGCTGTAAAAGTTGCTATTTTGTGAATGCTTTGGTTGATGGCAGATACTTTTACAAAAGCGGTTTTAGTAAGACAATATAAGCAAATTGCTGTGTAAATTGACGGAGGTTTTTGCCTTAAGATGCCAACAATAATATAATTGAATAATGGCTTAAATGAATTGTACTTCTATGCTGCTTAACTTGACTCGAGGGTGTTGCATATTTTTTTTTATGCATGGATTTTTATTGCGGACCTCATCCCAATAACTATAATTATGGTGAAGAAGGGTAGGCCTTCAGGCCCATTGCACCACGACCAAATTTGATCTATTTCGTCCCCTATTTCAACTTTAGTTGTTTAGTATACATAAGAATTGTATTAACCCCTGCTGCGGAATCTGCATTGGGTCGATATCGCTCTGCGGTGAGCTAGTGTTGGGCAGGTGGTAATGAGGTGATCCACTGATTCCTCTTCTTCACCACAGAACCTGTAGATGTCTGTTTGTTGCACATAGTACAGTGCTCCACACAATGGATGGTATTTTCAGGGGCAGTAGCCTAGGGGTGCTTAAATATTGCTTAAATATTGTTAGATATATAACAGATATCTAAATAAATGTCTCAAAGCTCAAAAACTAATTAAACTTTAAAAAATGTTCATAAAAATTTCCACCTTTTGATTCAGAATTTTTTAACGATTTACGAGAATGCAGCTTTGTAGCCTATTAAACTTTAGTATGTCACAAGTCCCTAAAAATAATCGTTGATTTTGTTAGATATTTTTTCTGTTGGGTGTTGCATATTTGAAATGCATATCGAACCCTAAATCAAAAACAGTGACAATTAAAAATTAAAAAAAAAAAAACCATAAAACAGGTAACAGCATGATAAAAACATAGCAAGGTAGAACCGTTCTCTCAATTTGTCGGCCATGATTTTTTTTTAAGTTTGCCAACATTTTAAAATCATGGCTGAATTTCTTTATTCATTCTGAACGTTTGGAATAAACTTTTTTGTTTACTTATTCTTTAGAACGTTCCTGATGATATGTTAACGTATATTTCAAAAGCATTCTGTTTATTCCGGCTGTGAAATGGGATTATCCGGAATGTATAAAGAAACGCAGCCCATATAAAAGTGAAAATAAAAAATTGAAATTGTTCGAAATTGTTGTTGCTTGAGATTGAAAATGAAAATGTGTGTGTGAGTTTGTGAGTAAATTTAAAAATTAAATTGTTTGGAAACGTCAAGAATTTTAAAAGTGACTCTCAGCGGTTCTACCTTACTATATTTTTATCATGGTTTACAGGCCATATTTATAACGTCTGCCAAAATGTCTTCTTCATCACTGCCTTCTTCAACTGTAAAAATACCTTAAGACTATTTTTGTTTTGCTTACACAACATCAAAAATTGTTTGCCTCTCTTGAACATTTGAGAGTTTTTTCAATTGAGATTGTCTTTGATTTAGATTGTGAACGTATAACTGGGCTGCGATTTCAACGGAATTAGCTGAATCTTTGAAGTATGTTTTAAAACATTCTGACGTTTAACTAAATAACTGCAAACTCAGATTTAACACAATTTATGTATGTAAGCTTCAGTAACCGTGTACAAACCTAAAAGGCAAGAAACTGAATTGCCAATTTTATC